TGGGGAGTCTCTGTCGCCCATCCCGCCCATCCCGGTGAGTGAGGAGGCTGGGGCTTCTCACCACCCGCTCGGCCACCCCCCCAGGGGCAGGGAGGCTGGTGGCCTGACTGTGTGGCTCGGACCCGCCGGTGATTCCGGGGTTACCGTGGGCTTTTGTGTCTCGTTTCACCAAATGCTCTCTTAAGCGTCGGTGGCGTTGTTGTGATCATCATCATCATCATCTTCAGCTGTTTTTCTGATAGAGAAACTGAGGCACAGGGAAGTGAAACTGGAGCTAGGAAGACACAGCAGGAACTCAGATTTGAGTCTGGGCTCCAGATGTGAAATTTCCAATCCCACAGGACAGCACAGCCCTCAAGGCTGGCCATGCCAGGCCGTGCCAGGGCCCGCTGTGCGGCGATGGTTTCAGGGTGGCAGTTGGCTGGCTGTGCAAGGGAGCACAGAAGGGCGACAACCCCGTGAGGGTCACTGGGGCCCGCTTGGGTGTGGTGGGGCTTTTTAGGCAGAGTCTGACACCTCGTGCCTAGTACAGCTGGGGATGGAAGTCACTGATCCTCGGCTTGGGGACAGGTTTGGGGCCAAGCCTGGGTTGCCTTCCTTGGCTGTGTTGCCCAGGCTTCCTGTGCCCATTGCCAAGGCACTGTGGTGGGCTCTCGGGGGGCCGCGTGGGGTCCCCGCAGTCTCCCCTTCTCACACGGCCTGTCTTCCAGTGCTGGGGACGCAGTCTCAAGTCTCAGGCTCCATTTCCCTCTTTGTGTCCTCTCTGCCTCTCCTGGGCCAGCACACATTGAATTGGTGGCCCATGGGGGTGTCGGTTACCCCTCAGGGTGGTGGGGCTGCCAGAACTCCAGGCGTGGGGATAGTGGATGGCGTTTCTCTCAATGACTGGGCTGACCTTTTAGGTTAGAGAGCTGGGGTCATGAGTGTCCTCCTCTGGGGGGACAGCAAGGCCCCATACCAGGTCATCCAGAGCCTCTGCATCCCCGGCGGTGTGGGCTGTTTCCGCAGCTCTAGGCGTGGATGGGTCTTGTTGTGGTTGTACTTGGACAGTGACACCCTGTGAGGTCAGAGTTGGAGTGACAATGATGTCACACTTCTCCACCCGTGTGGCCTCCTGGGGGGCTGATGCTCCCGTTCTCACCTTCTGACCAGCTCTGTTCAGCCTCCAGCCCATGTGTTTCCTGGGGCTGAAGGGGAGGCCACTGACAGCTCCCAGGAAGTCAGGCAGAGGAGGCCGGGCCACACCGGGTCCTCCCAGTGTCCTGGACGCTCCCACGCTCGCCAGATTCGTCAGCTGCCAAGAGGTGTGCTCACCCGCCCACACGGGCCACTCTAGGACCCAGGCAGGCCAGGAATGGCGAGGTCTGTGTCGGGGAAATGACAGAGGGGCTTGGCCAGCCACACCCTTGCTCTAAAAGTAGAACACCAGACAGACAGGGCGACCTCCACCTGCCGGCAAGGGTGAAAGGCTTTGCTACCAGGACGAGCCAATGTCTGGGAACCTGGCCGCTGTTCTCAAGGGCTGGCCATCGCCCCAATGTTGCTTTGCGCCCGCTTCTCTCAGCTGCGTCCTGCGTCCCCAGAACTGCGCTGTGGGCCTGAACCCTGTTCCCTGGGACCTAGCGAAATGGCAGGCCTGGGTCCCCGTTGGGACGTCAGCGGGGGCCCACATTTGTGAACCACTTGGGAGACATTCACCAAAGGGTGATGGTGAGAGCCTGCCAGGCGGACGGAAGGACGTGAACCAGAGAATGGAGGCCCAAGGCCCCGGGGGCCCAGCATGCTGGGCGAGCCCTGCAAACTCAGTGTAGGACGAGGGGCTCTGAGAGCTTAGGACCGCTCTGGCTGACGTGTTGGGGGTCCCGTTGGGGGTTGTGGAGCAGGGAGAAGACAGACTACAGCAGTGTGTCTGTAAACTAGAGGCGGCCACTCGGAGGCCAGGGAGTGACAGATGATGATACCCAGGGCCCTGCAGCAACAGTGCCCTCGGCTCCACCCACTGCCCCTGTCACATGCGGGAACGCAGACCTGGTGCGGTCAGGTCATCTGAAGTTACAGGAGGAGCGGAAATACGGATTCTTACATGAAATCACCTGACCTTTTACTGTTGGCTAAAAAATTTAAAAACATTCTGCAGGCCAAAGAAAACATGTGTGGGCTCGGTTTGGCCTGGTTCTCCTCTCCATCTGTCCGTTCACAGCCTTTTTGTCTCTCCTCCAGGAACATGTGGAAGGTGTGCACAGCATCATTCCCGGGGGGCTTGTCGTGGTGCCCCAGGAAGGGCAGATATCCTGGGGGGGCGCTGGGAGCAGGCCGGGCAAGGACGAGAAAGACTCCGGTTCACAGTAACCCCCACTTCCTGGTGATGGGGGGCTGTGCCTGCTCCGAGTCCCCTGTTGCTCCCAGCAGATCCCGAGCGCAAGGGGCAGCATTAGCCATACGGTTCAGGTGCACCCAAGGTGACCCTGGCTGTTCCAGCCCCGACCCCGCTCTGACAGCCCTGTCTGGACATAGGACTGTTTCCCAGCTGCCCACCAGGAAAGGTCTAAGCATGCGTCTGCTGTAAGGACAACATAAGGGGCCACTGGGCACATAGCCTGGAACATGGGACATGGCAAAGCTGGGCCACATGTCACTGCCTCACCAGGATCTGACACTTGTGACCCTATCTCAGTGGCTGCTGGGAGTGACAGGGGCAGCAGAAGTCTCAAAATAAGCCCTTTCTTTTAACTGTTATTATGGGAACCTCAGATAGATACAGAAGTAGAGAAAATGGCATAAAGACCCCCTCCCAGGTGCTGGGGTTATAGGCATGCATCACCATGCCTAATTTATTTTTTATTTTGACACAGGGTCTTGCTAAATTGGGCTCAAGCTTATGATTCTCCTGCCTCAGCCTCCCAGAAGGCTGGGATTACAGGCATGCGACACCATGCCTGGCTTCTGTATTATTTTTTCAACAGTTGCATTCCTCAAATCACAATCTAGAACCCACAGGCTGCATTTGGTTGTTTACCATTTCCTTTCATTTTTTCCCCCTGAGGTGTATTTGTGGAAGAAACCAGGTGGTTTGTCCTGTAGGGGTTCCCCCAGCCTGGGGTGCACACTGGTGGCCTGTCCTTCTGTGCCCTGAGAGTTCCCCAAATGGTAGCTGCACGTGGTGGCCTGGTAGGTTTGGGTTTTGGTGAGCGTGCAGTGTGTGTGGCTCTGCGTTCTCCCCTCAGGTGACACATGCTACCCTCATCCCTGCTTTGGGATGGCCCTGCGGGACCTGGGGCGCCCACCCAGCACCACTGGGCTGGGCCACCCTGTGCTGTCTCTGCAGTTTCACCCCCATGTGAAGGGGGTCACAGAGTAAGAAAGGGGTGGGCTGGGCTTCCCCAGAAACCAGTGATGTGTCTGTGTGTATGCCAGTGGATAAGTGTGTGCAGGCCCGTCCTTGTGTGTAGATGGAGGGGTGTGTGTGTGTGAATCTGTATCTGTGCAGGGAGAGCCATAAGCTGACTTACCACGAGGGGAGCCAGAAACGGGTGAGCAAGGCAAAATGGAAATTGTGGAAAAACATGCAGTCAACACCTGGATGTGGTAATGCACGCCTGCAATCCCAGCACTCAGGGAGGCTGAGGCAGGAGGATCACAAGTTTGAGTTCCACCTGGGCAACTCATTGGTCTCTCAACCTAGTGAGACCCTGTTCAAAAATAAAAAATACAACGGTCTGAGGATCTAGCTCAGAGAGAAGGCCCTGGGTTGACTCTCCAGTAGGGCCAAACCCAGCCCAAGTCCGTGCATGCAGGTAGTGGGGGGTGCGGTGTGGTTAACTCCTCCTCCCCCCATCCTGGGGCCGCCCCTGCACTAGACTTTGAAGGCTGGAGCTAGACTCCTGAGGGCCTCTGGACAGGAGTCCCCCCAGGATCGGAGACAGGAGAGCAAGGACAGGCAATAAAGCCAGCTGGGCAGGGGGCAGGGTTCGAGGAGAGCCCAGTCCCTCTGGTCACCTGCTGTGCTGCCTGTGCCAGCACCACCTGGCCTTCCCCGGAGGCAGGGCTAGGAGCCTCCTCAGCAGCCTGGAGGGAGCTCACCCAAAGCCAAATGTGTCTGTCGGATTTAGCTCAGTGGCACAGCGCTTGCCTGGCAAGCGCAAGGTCGTGAGTTCAATTCCCGGTACCGGAAAACAAAAACAAACAAACAAACAACCTGGCATTTATGACACGCGCCTGATTGCAGAAATATTTTAGAACCATGCCCTGCGGCGCCCGTGTGGCTTGGACCCTCCCTGCCGAGATTCTACAGGCCCAGCTTCGGGCCGCCCCACCTCCTCCGGCTTGCACCTCCTTGGGGTGGCAGCTGAGACCGGGGAAAGGGGGTAGGCAGGGCAGTGCACCCCCAATCCCACCTCGCCTACGCCAAGGCCAAGGTCACCCTTACAGGGCGCTGGACAAGCGCAGATGTCAGCCTGGGGCTTTTCTCAGGGTCCCAGCGCCATCCTCCAGCCTCTCGAAGGAAGTCACTTTCATTACCCGCGTTTTCCAGGTGCTCCGCAAGGTTGAGCAAGTTGGGGAAGGCCGCAGAGCCAGGGAGGGGCTTAACTGGAATTCGGGGGAGGTGGGTCTGATTTCAGCACTCATCAGCGCGGACACACCTCACACCCACGCAACACACACACGCTCACACACTCACTCACTCTGCACCAGCGCGGACACGCCCGACCCGCGCTACCCAGAGGCTCGGACTGCGGCCGCCAGCGGAGGAGCACGCACGCTCCACGGCCGGCAGGCCCCGCCCCTCCCGCCGCCG